TGCTCTTATGGCTTGTTTTCGCAGATTCGTGTTCAACCGAATGTAAGGTTCCAACCGTGGACTTTGATCTAACTGGAGCACCCTGTGTATTTTCGTGAGTTTCATTCCCAGCGACAAGTACAGCTGCAGATTGTGATAGTGAACGACGCATTTTGACTTGTTCATCAAGTTAGGCATGAGTTTTTCGACGTTAGCCAGCTTGTTGTCTCCCAGCAAGTTTCGTTGATATTCGAACATCCAGTCAGGGTTCACCGCCAATCGTTCAGGAGCTAGCGGATAGCTGTTGTGCGATTCGTGTAGTTCTGAGGGATAGTCGAAGTCCACTTCGAGCATGTAGCCTTTTTTCGAATCCGGCGCGATGCTATTCACGTCAATCATCTCGGGCGAGGAGACCCATTAGAATCCCCCGGTGGGGAGATACTGACTCATAGCCCAGCCATACAGGTTGTTGGCGTCGAGATAGAGTATGTGTTTGGTTGGTTTGCCAGAGTCGTGACCGGGAACGTACTTGTTGTTGGATTTGGCGTATCGTTTGGAGGTCATGGAAATCCTGCCTCGCAAGCCTTTTTCCACGAACAGGTGCATGTCGTAATCCATCAGTAGTTTCAGCTCCACGCCGGTCTTTTTCAACAAGGCGTCCCAAGAGAGACTGGAGGATGAGAAATACCACGCGGGGTCCATGTCGTACTGTTTCGAGCACGTTTTTCTGAATATCTCGAACACGTCGGCCAGCAGCAGCACGTTCGTTTTCAAGTACAGGTCGTGGTAATCGCCCAAATTATTGCAGGCCAGTTTGTCCCACACGTTAATCGCGTGCGCGTAATCGTCTTGAGAGATACTGGAATCGGTCAAGTTGCTGTAAAATTGGTCGATGGGAGGTAATCGTGTCTCGTCGAACTTACACCAATCGTAAATGTACTCATAGGGGTAGACGCCCTTCCTCAGCAGCAGAGGTCAAGTCTCGGCGTCGATGTATCGATTGGTGATTTAGTAGTTGTCCGTGTCGTTGGCATTCACCAGACTGTCTAGAGACGACAGCAGGAACTGTACGCTATCAATAAATCTCAGACCGTCTAACAAGATGTATTTTTCCATGTTGTTGGGGATGCACGTTATGTTGCCGTTGACCTTCGCGATGGCATGGATGTTCAGGTGAGAATCGTACCGCGAAGATTGTGAAACATGACGGGGATTTTGATTCTTGGGATTTATTTTGAGCTTCAAGCTGCACGCGTGAGCGTCACCTCTGTACTTGCTCGTGATGTGGCAGTGATCTCTCACGACATCCCCGTTCAGGGGTTCGTCGCACACGCGGCAAGTCTTAGCTTTCTTATGAGTTCGCCAGTCGTCTTGGGTCATACACATGGGGATGATGGTGTAGAACTGTTTTCTGATGGTTTTCTTTTCGTTTTGCAAACACGTGAGAAATCGTTTGGCCGCGGCGCAACCTCGTCTGATGCGACGGACGAACAAACGCTCCTGTAATCTACCGAGGTCCTGGTGCGGTTGAAACGTTTCTTACGTTACAACGCGAAGAGAGAAAAATCAGGGAAGAGTTGTCGGATCCTGCTCTCATGCGCATGACGTCGAAGGATGACCTCGCTCATAAGAAGGCTAAGAATTGCCACGTATGCTGGGGACCCCTGAACGGTGATTCAGTGAGAGATCATTGTCACGTCACTGGTCAATACCGAGGCGCCGTTTACAACGCGTGTAACTTAAAACTTAAAATCGAACCTCAAAAAATCAACATCCCGTGGTCTTCCACAATTTGAGAGGGAACGATGCCCACCTGATTATGCAGGCCATCTCAAAAGGTTGGCGGCGATATTAAGTGTATCCCCAACAACATCTCGTTCTCGCTCAACGGTCTGAGATTTATCGATAGCACGCAGTTCCTCCTGTCGTCTCTTGACAGTTTGGTTAAGGCCAACAATACCTTCACCATCACCCATCGATACACAGATGAAGTGACTCGGCCTCTGCTGCTCAAAAAGGGCGTGTACCCGTACAAGTACATGGACGATTGGTCTAAGTTTGACGAGACCCAACTACCTCCCATCAATCGATTTACAGCAACCTAATCGAATCCAATATCTCCCAGGACGATTATGACCATGCCCAGAACGTGTGGGAAAAACTGGGATGCAAGAATCTGGGAGACTACCACGACCTGTACTTGAAAACGGACGTGCTGCTGCTGGCCGACATGGCCGACATGTTCGAGACGTTCAGAAAAACGTGTTTGAAACAGCATCAACTCGACCCAGCGTGGTACTACACCAGACCCGGTCTTTCTTGGGATGCGCTGCTGAAGAAAACCGGAGTCAAACTAGAACTCCTAACCGATTACGACATGCACCTGTTCGTCGAGAAAGGCATGCGGGCCGGGATTTCCATGGTCTCCAAACGGTACGCGAAAGCCAACAACCCATACGTGAAAAACTACGACTCGAACAAGCCCACCAATCATCTCCTCTATCTCGATGCCAACAACCTGTACGGTTGGGCTATGAGTCAGTCTCTACCTACGGGCAGATTCGAGTGGATGGATAGCGAGCATTTTAATCTGAAGAACATTATGGCCATCCCCGACAACTTCGAGATAGGCTACCTGTTCGAAGTGGATTTGGAGTACCCCGAAGCACTGCACGAATCGCACAAAAACAGTTATCTGCTGGCTCCTGAACGGTTAATGGTCGATCGAGACTGGATCAGCGGGACTTGTTGGGAGAGAGCACACTGGCCAACGTGGAAAAACTCGTCCCGAACTTGATGCACAAGACCAAGTACGTCGTGCACTATCGCAACCTGCAGCTGTACCTGTCGCTGGGTATGAAGCTGACCAAAATACACCAAGTGCTCAAATTCGATCAAAAACCCTGGATGGAACCTTACACTCGGTTGAACACCGAATTGAGAAAACGAGCCACGAGCGACTTCAAGAAAAACCTCTACAAACTCATGAACAATTCGGTACTCGGCAAAACCATGGAAAACTTAAGAAAAAGGGTTAACGTGAATCTCGTTCGAGCACACCAGGAGGAAAAAACTCAGAAAACTCATTGCCAGCCCGGCCTTCAACCGAAGCAAGCTATTAGATAACCACTTGGCGGCGCTGCACATGAATAAAAGCCACATCAAGCTCAACCGGCCCGTCTCTACGTGGGGATGAGCATCCTCGACTTATCCAAACATCTTATGTACGATTTCTACTACAACCGACTCAAGGAGCAATATGGCGATCGATGCGAGCTGCTGTACACGGACACGGATTCCTTGTTGTTGAATGTTGTTGTTGTACCGAGGACGTGTACGAGGACATGGCAAAACACATCGATTTGTACGACACCAGCGATTACCCCCCAGACCACGACCTACACAGAACAACCAATAAAAAGGTCCTTGGCAAGATGAAGGACGAATGCGCGGGCACACCCATCGCCAAATACGTCGGATTGAGACCCAAGATGTATTCCATCCTGAAAGCCGACAATGGCGAGATTCGAAAGGCGAAAGGGGTCAAGAAATACGTGGGTGACAACACATCAAACACGCCCTCTTCAAACAAGCTCTGTTCAAGAATAAAACATTCAAACACCGAATGAATGCGTTGAGAAGCGATAAACACACCATCTATGGCATCACTCTCAACAAGACGTCGCTGTCGCCCATGGATACCAAACGGTGGATCGCCGTCGAGGCGTCACGACTTACGAGTACGGACACACGCGCATAAACCACTGATTAGACCTCAATGTGCTGGGAGTTTCTAAGACACCCAATAAAGGAAACTCCACTCGGCATGTCGAGGTCTAGTCAGTGGTTGCTGATAAAAAATGGGTTGCCCTAGCGAAAATGGGTCTAGGATGGCGAGCTCAGCTGTACATCGAATGATGTCTCTGCTCGAAAACCACTATTTTATACTAGGCGCTGGGAGTGGAATTACGCAGAAATAAGCCTATAAGAGGAAGTGATCCAGAACCCCCATTATATAACTACTGACCCCAGTACTTACCGGGGAATCTCAATATTAAGCTGCTTGGGTTAGCTGTTCATTTCCAGTGGAGCAGGCCATTTCTTCCCCGGTCGAAACTTAAACTTTCCCCGGGGAGAATCGGTCCTAGCCCAAACTTTCCACGGGGAGGTTTTGTCCTAGGATATTCTTACCCAAGGGAAAGTTTGTGCTAGGCTAAAGTGCCCCCCCCCCCCCCAAACTTTTTTTTCTTCTTGAAGTATACTCGATTGCATCATCGGTGGGGATCGGCGAAAGTAAGGATTGTTGAGCCATTTTCAAAGTGTGTATGTTTCCTTCTCGATGACTTGCTGACATCTCCTGAACAGTACATAGTCTCAGTCCTCCTTCCTCAGAGAGCTGGCCTTACTATAACCCGCCAACTGGCAATTCAGTACCATTACAGGCATTGCAATGGTTTATCCCAACTGCAGATAATATACTTTCAATGGAAGATGAGTGAAGGTCGTGCGACTAAACATCTGTCACATCCAGCACAATCTATCCTTTTGCATGATCCCATATCCTAAAGCAATTCTTTATTATGCCTTTATCTTCCAATAAAGTCTTATTGTACCTCTTGGTTATTTACTTTATTCTTAAGTCTTTTTCTTTTGATGAAGATGAAACAAAATCCCAATTTCTGATGTGATAAAGAGATATATAATAAAACAGAGAATCTCTATAAAATGCAGGACATCTGCACACCAGTGTGGCAAGAAAGAGAATGACTACAACTGACGGTCACATGATCAGCCTGGGCAGGTTGCATGCTTTGCAGGACCTTATCAGCAACTGGAGCAGGGGTGTGTTCGGGCAAAATATTCAAAGAGGCTGAAAACTTTGTTCCAGGTTGTTTCCACTCCACTGTCGAAAATAGAAGAGGATTTGCATATCATGAGATAGGATAAATAATGGGGTTTTTTCACATGCAAAATGTGTGGAGATGCAGATTTCCAGGCTGTGAAAAATAAGAGCTGGATACCTGAATGGTGACAGCAGCTTTCCTCTTCCTCAAAAATGCCAGTCGGCTACGAAAGCAACGAAAGTTGAATTGCAGAATCAATACAGCATGTTTTTTTTCCAAAAACCCTGAAACAGAAAGGGATAGATAAAGCATATACCACATTTACTGTAATAAGAACCCCAGTAGTTATTATAACCATATACTTGACAGGTTCAATTTGATGGAAGAGGCAACTGAAAGGAGATTTTAATAGTATTTCCCAATATGGTTAGTATTTTCTATTGTACAGTGATATCATTATTGTATTGTGTGCTTTTCTCATATGTTCTCTGTAAATAGCAATCACACCTCGGTATTTTTTCTTCACATTTGTGCACAACCTGTGATTCATTAATTTGATTCATTTTTTTGTATGACAAGATGGAAAGAAACTGATCTACAACTATAACTTAATTTAAGTATACAGATAATATATTTACAAATGTATGAATCCATCTAAGCATCACCATTTTATATTGCTTAGTGTGTGATATTGAAAGGGAAACACCCTGAAGTAACATGAACAAGGTTTTCATCTTGTTTTGGTCTTGTGCTTTCTGAGTATACAAGTTGTTTATATTACTTTTGACATTCGAAGCGGTGGGGAAGCTCAGGGGTTTAAGTGTACTCTCGCCACGTTGAAGACCTGGGTTCAATTTCTCATATGGGTACAATGTGTGAAGCCCATTTGTGCTGTCCCCTGTCATGATATTGCTGGAATATTGCTAAAAGCGGAGTTAAGCTCACTCACTCGCTCACTCACTCTTTTGACATTCTATTAAGTTTCAGATTCATCCTGTCTGAAATCAAATATAGAGGCATGGACTGAAGACAGACACCAAATGACAGAGTGCCATACCATGAACTTTTGGACCTGGTAAGGTAGAAAATGTCTTTGTTCCAAGACAAAAAAATAAAGATAACGTCATGAAATTAGTTCCAAATGAAATATGAGGTTGAAATAGTGAATCATTTACTACATATTGTGTTGAGAGCAAATCTAACCTTTCCTGAGCCAGAATCCACGCCAGTGTTTCTGAATGCATATCACTTTGATTGTTAAGAACTGGAAACGAAGATCCTCCAAAGGTTCCAAAACACTGTTTCTCATGAATACCTGAAGAAAAACATTATTCATTAGTGGAAGCTTAGAGGTCTGTAGTTCATCCACACTATTCTTTTTAATTCATCCATATATTAAGGCACTGTAGCTCACTTGGTTTGTTTTTAATGAGTGGAAAGTTAGGTTTTTATGACTGTTACACAGGATCTAAATGTTATATGGTAATGTAATATGCCATTTGCTGTAAAATAAGGTGTGATAGGTGTGAGGGCAGATCTCATTTTAATAATCCCATGATGCTGACCAACACCACATTTTTAAAAATGGCACTGTAAAGCAAAAACATTGGATAAGGTAAAACCACACAAGTTTCTCATGCCTAAAATATTATATTTTTGCATCACGATAAGGAATTATCTATTTCACCTTTCCGCTTCATCACTGATATTTCTAACATATATCTGACTTCTATTCTATTTAAAAAAGAGAGAATTAAATTAAAACAGATTGATGATGATTGTGCAGACAAAAGTTTATATGCATTTAAAGGCTAAAAGTATACTGGCAAAGCAATAAGATCCTTTTCAGTCAGCAAAATTACAGTTTAAATCTTGACAGTTTTAAGTAGAAGGTACTGTATGACTTGTGAAAAGACACAAGAGAATTCCTCCTCATTGGTTTTATTAGCAAACAAGAAACAAGCACAACCTGGAACACCTAGATAACGAAACCAGGAAAATTCAGTAAGGGAGATAACTGCCAAGGAAACCTGTGATGGGAATGACATATGACCAGCATGAAACTAATATCAATGGAATAAGCATATATCAAAACTGGCAAACAAAGCTAATGAAAACCACAAAAGACTCTCCTCTGAAATTCTTGTCCTTTAGAGGATGCTTCTGGTGTCCATTCAGATATCTCCAAGCTTACAGTCAGTTCGAGTCAGAAACGGACCGATGAATTGCAAATTTTTTTCATTGTACAAAATTGCCACATAAATATAAATAGTACACATGTTTATCATTTACTAATACCCAACAGCTTTCTTATATTTGAAAATTTTCCGGACTCCACCCAAAAAGTTGTTTAAGAAACTATCATCATCGAAAACCCAAAAGTTGTTATCTGTTGCAGCGGGGTGAAACCGCAGAAACGGAACAGCCACTATCTTGTCGTGCACGGGATACACATGCCTGATGAAAAATGAAGTTGAATGCTGACGTGAAACAGTTGATGATTAAAGTGTACAATTTTTTCCATGCTGAAGCCGAAAGGGGCAAACTATTTATGCCATTAATAAATTCCGTAAGCGAGCAGCAAAAAGTTTTAGGAGTATCACCAAGGGTACTGACAAATGTTTTGGAACACAAACGATGTTGTGATGAGAAGCAGGTAGGGGTCGTATCAAAATCACACAAATTAAAACATTTGGACAACTTTCAAAAGAACCTTGAAAGGCAGTCTATCAACAAGCTCTATTCTGAAAACAAATACATGTTGCTGAAATTTTTTAAAAAGCATTTGAAGCAAGAACACAACCTCAGAGTATCAAAGTACACACTCTTTCGGGTATCGTTATAAGAACGCCCTGATATCGTTCGCTTGAGAAATAATTTTCTCAGGGTTATAAAGAAGAAGCGCGAGGAAGGGTTCGAGCCAGTGTACTTGGACGAGACCTGGGTCAATGCCTCGCACACTGCCAGCAGTCAGTGGGTACCGGATGGGGGTGATAAGGGGTCACGTAGAAAGCTGCCTCTAGGGAAAGGAGAGAGACTAATCATTCTCCATGCTGGTTGCTCCAACAAAGGCTTTCTCCCAGGCTGCAACTTGGTATTCAGGGCAAAGTCCTCAGATAACAGAGACTACCATTCCGAGATGAATGGTGCGGTTTTCCTCGATTGGGTTAAAAACAAGTTGGTACTAGCTCTACCAGAGAAATCTTTTATCGTAATGGACAATGCCCCATACCACAGCGTGCAGGACCCCAACAGTAAAGCCCCGACATCGAACAGTCGAAAAGGTGATATGATATCAAGGCTCGACAAATTTCAGATCGCACGGCCTTCAAAGGCAACGAAGCCTCAGCTATATGAGATCATAAAAACCCACAAAGGTGAACCTTTCTACAAAGTTGACAGTTACATAAAAAGTAAGGGTCACGATATTCTGCGACTTCCACCCTATCACTGTGACCTTAACCCCATTGAAATGATATGGGGTATTGTCAAAGGAGATGTTGCCAGATCAAACACAACTTTTAGATCACGTGACGTAGAGGTTTTGGTTAAGGAATCCCTTAACAAAATCACGACTGAAACTTGGCAAAACTGTGTCAACAAGGTAGCTAACGTCATTGAACAAGGTTACTGGTCTCGCGATGGCTTACAACAGGCAACTGTGGCACCACTTGTCATCCCTTTAAGTCGTGACTATGACACTACGACAGACGAGGAACCGACAGGTCTCCCGGAAAAGATTTTGAGATGTCCGCCATGACTGGCTGTTCCGTTTCTGCGGTTTCACCCCGCCGCAACAGATAACAACTTTTGCGTTTTCAATGATGATAGTTTCTTAAACAACTTTTTGGGTGAGGTCCGGAAAATTTTCAAATATAAGAAAGCTGTTGGGTATTAGTAAATGATAAACATGTGTACTATTTATATTTATGTGGCAATTTTGTACAATGATAAAATTTGCAATTCATCGGTCCGTTTCTGACTCAAACGGACTGTAGAATGAAGCAAGTTTTACCAGATATTATCAGTGAAACTCAAACAGGATTTCTCAAAAACTGGTTTATTGCAGAAAATACCTGACTACTTTATGATTTGAAGAATCATTGTGAAGTTAACAAGAAGACAAAGTCTTCAATATCCCCTGCAATGGCAAAATACTCTTCATGATTATGTCTACGAGTTATGATTATGTCAAATATTTAGGTGTGTATATAGAAAAGTGGAAGGAGAGTACTGAAAGGTTTTTAAAGTTCTGCTCCAGAAAGGAGCACTATCACCAATTTAAGTCTATGTCAAACTTGTTCTATTAGTCACCGTTGACTTCGAGAAAGCGTTTGATACCATTGAATGGGATTTTATCGATAAAGCACTAGAAACATTTAATCTTGGCGATTCATTCAGAAAATGGATAAAACTTTTTCAACATAATAGTCTCAGTGCAGTCATAAATGCTGGTAATATTTCTGAATATTTTACACTAGGAAGAGGTTGTAGGCAAGGCGATCCAGTTTCCCCATATCTTTTTATCGTATGTGCAGAGCTACTTTCTATTAGTATCAAGAAAAATAAAAAAATTAAAGGTATTAATGTAAAAGGAGTGGAATATTGTATCTTTCAATATGCAGACGACACAAATTTTACTCATGGTGGCTCGGAGATGAGTCTATCAGAATTGATAAAAGTATGCTAATATGATTGGATCTAAAAAGAATAGTAATGAAAAGTTATGCCCACATATTCCCCTACGCTGGTCAAAAGAACCCTTTAAAATACTTGGCATCATTTTCAATGTTGATCTTCAAAATATGACTAAATCAAATTTCGAAAAGCAATTTGAAAAAGCTAGAAAACTTTTATTTTCATGGTCCACAAGAATGCTAACTTTAAGAGGAAAAGTAACAATAAAAAAATCACAAATACTCCCACTGTTCACACACCTCTTTACATCCCTTCCAGACCCAGATATTACTTTTTTTAAACGATTAAATACTTGTGATTAATTTTAATGTAAACATTCCCTCTGGACTATGGTAGCCTGAATCCCACATATGGAAGGAGGGTCTCCCTTGGAAGATAATTCCCTTTTACCACTAGACACAAGATGAGGATTCAACCACCCAAGAATAACTATGGCTTAGTGAGATATAACCGAAGTTAAAAACCTCCAGTGACGTCACTCTATTGTTCTAGTGAGGCAGTATTTCTTGTCATATCCCGATGCCCCATCGATTAGGGGGCATTACTTCAATATCGTCCCTCTGCCTGAGGATTTTCTGAGGAATAGCCCTTGACTTTGAATTATTACTTGTTTTGAAGATTGATACGACTTTGTCTTGCCATCACTGAATGCGATCGTAAAATATGACATTATTGAAAACTTCCAAGATGTAGTGCCGACACCCGGTTTAGAACCCGCAACCCTTCGCTTGCTAGCTTGGCGGTTTTATCCACTAGGCTACAATGGATCGCTGTGAAGAAAGAGATTGTTTGTCGGCATGAACCCTGTGTTCCTCCCAAGACGGGTAGTGCGGGTAGCGCACGTGCAGGGCACGGGTAGCGCGTTCAAGGCGAGGCGTCAGCTGCCAGTCTCATCCCAGTTGCTTTCAACAGTAAAACCAAATATTGAAATTATATCTAAAGTATATCTTCAGTCGGTTTATAAGTTGGATAAAGCATGACCCTCGGGCATTACGAAAGAAGTAAGGATGTTTTCCCGAGGGCATTCTTCGAGGGAAAACATCCTTACTTCTTTCGTATAGGATAAAGCATGACCCACAGGCATTACTGAAGAAGTAAGGATGTTTTCCAGCGGTACATGTCTGAGGAAGTAAGGATGTTTTCTTTACTTCTTTGTAATGCCCACAGGAAAACATCCTTACTTCTTCGTAATGCCCGCGGGTCATGCTTTATCCTATACGTATCTCTAGATTGGGTCAGTAGTTGTGAGAGAAATATACTCTTTGGTATTGGTGAGCCTTTAAAGTTCCTTTCTAACTATGGTTGACAGCCTTGAGAGTAAATTGTCTTAGTATTAATCATATGACATCACTTCCTGACTTATGATGTAAAACTTTATTTCCCAATATTACCCCCTGAATAATAACTCATTAAAATATCAAAGGAAATAACTTCCGGTACTAAATGATTTTCAGTTCTGATTGAAAGACGTCACTTCCGGTCCGATGACGTCACTTCCGGTTTTCGGAGTGATTACTAATAGATGAACTGTCTAAAGATACTAATAAAGGATATGATTATATAATATCAAACTCTGATGTGGTCAACCAGTAGTTGGAAGCGTTAGAAGCTTCTGTCCTTAATGTGTTCGGTTAGGAGATACCAATGAATAATAAGTTCCCTACCGCGGTATCTTCGGCCCTCTGTAATGTTCCTCCTCCCGGGGGCCATCTCTCTCCGAGCAGTCTGGGAGCAGTCTCCAGTCTGCGAACCAAACTTCTATTCCAATCTTGTATTTCCTTAAGATTAACTGATCTTGATCACGATATGCATAAGAGATTGTTTTCCTAAGCCAGGAGTAGAGAGTGTTCTTAGATATCTCTGAGTCAACATTAATTTTGCATGAAATGGACAAGCGGTGACGATTGCGTCTAAACGTCGAAGTACACTGAATATACCAACACAATGCTTGTATTGGGCATAAAAGTCTAGTCCTATCAGATCTAGAGGCAGAGGTAGGGAGCTGAGGAATCCTGTAAATCCTATGTCCCAAAGGGCCATGAGTTGAAGACTGGTTTTTAGTGGCAAACTCCGGTACAGTTTGACACGTCATCTGTTAAAATCCCTCCTAAAAAGTAACAGATTTAAAGTCTGTAGCATGTAATTTTGAGACTCTGGAGGCCGTAGCAAATGCCAGGAGGAAAGCCGTCTTAAATGATAGGAACTTGAGAGAGGCATCCTGCATTGGTTCATATTGAGATCTCTGGAGAGACTGAAGCACTAATGATAAATCCCACTTAGGAAATATTGTAGGAGACAATATATCCCTAATCTGAAAAGATCTAATAATCTTGTGAAGGGAGGAATCAGATCCGACTGAAAGTCTCTGAATGTCCATTACTGAGGCAATAGCCAAATGATATCCTTCAATCGTGTTGTGCTTTAAGTGCTTATGTTCTCTTAGATACATAATAAACTCTGCTATGACTGCAATGGTGATAGGGGAGTCCAAGATTCCTCACTCTCGTCTCTACTGGATAAATCGTCCCCACTTAGCGACATACAAGGCAGCCGTGGAAGGTCTGATGGACTCTGATATAGCTTTGTTAGCTCCCACCATGAAACCCTGTTCCTTGAATGAACTGGAGATAGCCTCCACACGTGTAAGGCAAGTTGGCTGACATTCTCGTGAAACCTGTCTGAACTGGGTTGACTGATCAGATTGTGCCATAGTGGGAGACATAGAGGTTTGTCTGTCAACAGTTGAAGAAGAGATGGGTACCATGGTCTGGCTGGCCACGCCTGTGCAACTAGGTATAATATACAATTGTGCTGCTGAATCTTTTGTAGAACATCTGGAATGAGCTTGAACGGAGGAAAGACGTAAGCTATCATTCCGTCCCAAGAGATGGAGAGCGCATCGACTGCCCAGGCCGAAGGATCCGGAACCGGACTTACAAAGGTTTGAAGACGATTGTTCCTGGATATTGCAAACAGATCTATCACTGGTGTCTCCCAAGTCTGCCCTATGAGCCTGAACGCTTCCCAATTCAGTGTCCATTCCGTGGCAATCACTCTGTTCTGACGGGATAGAGAGTCCGCTAACAAATTCACCCATCCCGGGATGTGACCGCACCCTGATAGAACATCTTACAGCATCCGCAGTCCTGTGTGATGCTTAGTAGCTGACGTTGACTTAGTACCACCTTGTTTGTTGACGTAAGCAACCACCATGGAATTGTTCGATACCAACATGAGATTTTTCTTGTGCAAATGACACGCCCAACAATGGAAAGCCTTCAGAAGAAACAACATTTCTTGGCAGTTTATATGTAGATTCTCCTCCTCTGGACTCCACAACCCTTGAGTCTGCCAATGATCCATGTGGGCTCCCCAACCCGAGTTCGAGGCATCTGCGTACAATGTCAAGACGGGTAAGTGAGGACGTAACGAAACCCCTGGCAGCACATTTCCGTCTACAGTCCCCGGAAGAATCTACCGACGAACCCGGTCAGGTGATACAATGGGAAAATATAGATCCTGATTCCGAAACTGGTTGAGCCAGATATGAGGGAGTCTCAGCCTCAGCCTAACCCTTCCCCCTTACAGTATAGTCCTGGATTGAAGTGAGAGATCCTAGAAGGGACATCCACGAACAAATAGACGCTGTTGGCTTTGCTAATGTGGTGGTTATCTTCGCACAAATCTCCAGCCAACGATCCTGAGGGGCATAAATGTGACAAGTTCTCGAGTCCAAGAAGGCTCCCAGAAACTTGATTCGAGTGGAAGGTATCTACTCCAACTTTACCGGGTGCACTATTAGTCCCAGATGGGCAAAGACATGTATCATGAATTTCATCTGCCTTATGAGTATAGTGGTCACTACATGTCTCGCCAGGAAATCGTCCAGGTAACCATGAATTGATATCCGCCGTTGATGAAGGAAAGCTAAGACTGGAGTCAGAACTTTCGTGAAAAGCCAAGGTGCTAGTGAAATCCCGAACAGTAGTACTTGGAAATGAAATATGCGGCCGTTCACGCCAACATGAGATATATCTGCTATCGCGGGTGAATAGGGACATGAAGATATGCGTCCTTGAGATCTATGCTGATGAACTTTCGAGTCCTGGCTTATTAAAGTGCGTAGATTGGATTGAATTATGGAGGCTTCCTTAAAAGCTTTTTGTTCAACAACTTTAGATCTATGATCATGCGCATCTCGTCTGTATCCTTCTTGGGGGTGAGAAATACTGGAGCATAAAATCTGCATATTAGGTCCGATGGAGGCAGTTCTACAATTGCCCGTTTCTCCAGTAATTGATCTATCGCTAGGTTTGTGCCCGCTAGACGCAGGCCTTGTAGGAAAAAAACAACGGGCGTTGGGAAACAAGTCACAGGAGGTAGATTGTCCCAGGGAAGTAGAAAACCTCTCTGTACCACTGAAAGGATCCACTTGTCTGAAGTTATCAACTTCCAATTGTCCACGTATTGGGATAACCTGCCCCCTACTGGCAACTGAGTAACTTGTCCAAATCCAAATCGAGCGACGTTTCCAGTTCGCAAGGAGGAGAAAGCTGTACAGTGAGATTTGAGTCAATATTTCCTGGGGGTGGGTCCTGATCCTCGAAAAGACCTAGCTCCTCTACCCCTAGATGAGGTTGAGCCTCTGGAAGTCGTATTGCCTGAAAAGTGAGATCTAGATTCCAACGCCCGATCAAAGGCAGATATGTGAAACAGATGAGAACAAGCCGGTGTAGATGAGGTGCCGTGAGATGCTGAAGTAGATGAATGTGGGACCTGTCTAGGTCTGGAAGAAGGTCTGCCTCTGTTTTGGTTCCATAGCGCTGAAGCCAATCTCTGATTAAGATTCCTACAGGTCATGGCATCCCGGGCCCCAATGGCTTGTTGACATTAGAGTCTGAGAGTACATTTAACGGCCAAAGGTTGTTGGAAAGAAATTCCTTGGATGCATCCGGAAGGTTCCTTACTGAATCCAGTCTCTGAATCCGTTCAATGGCTGTAAGACGACCTAAAATATTCACTTGATTTGCCATAGCATCCCACGTCAAGGAAAGAGTGCGCCAAAAGATACTAATGTGTCCTTTATAATTCTGGAGTAATCCTGGAAAACTGGAGGAAGCAAGGCCTGTACTCCGGCGGCTAACCATTAAAATAGAATAACACGTCGATGGAAGTCCGAGCAGCCATGTCCAATTCCTTGAAATCCCTATTGGAACACAGAGAAGCCTGTTCCTGTAAGTGGGCAAAGTCCTTGTCTAAGGCTGGCTGGCCGTGATAAGTCAATCATGAATGGTATAGACTTGCTTATGACTAACCCTAGGTAGGTTATTCAAAGTCGTGGCCTGGGAGAGGCCTAAGTTATAATTCTCCAAAACTTTCTTAAGTGATGCATGGGGTAAGGACAGCTTGGGCATCTGTTCCGGCGGTAAACAGCCTGATAAACCCAACTCCACGGGTATGTCAATTTCATCATCGGTGATTGTTTTCTCCCCAGCGACCTCACTGATGTTACATTCAACATCACAAGTATCCACCAGCATTAAGTGGGTCAGTTGATACAGTCCAGGGAAAGAATTGGTCTATCAGCATCTGTTTTTCTCTGTTGCCTCAGACGTGTTCATCCTGGAAAACATCAGTGGAGTATTACTATCCAAACTCATGACTGCCAGTTATGAGAAAATGTATCATTATCAGATTTAAGTTACTATTGTGGAGAAAGACATGTCACATAATGAACATATTCATTCGGGGATAGGTCAAAGGTGGAAAACATTATTCTTAACAAATGTTTCAACTATGGAGAAGCATAATTTAAATATGCTGACATTTTTTCCTTCTCTGAGTGGCATTTAGAAGTTGGTGTGATGAACAACAAGGAGAGTTCTATGAATATACAATTATTTCTTTAATATAATATGAGCGACATTGTGGTGTAGCTAATACCGTTATCAAGCAAGTAACTCTCCTCGTTAATTTTTATTCTGTAGGGAGATATGTCTGATACAAAGAAGTGTGTTCAAGTGATGAATGCTTTGCTAAGATATAATTGAAATAGAATTGAATATAAATTCAATAGATTAACCTGAAATTAGAATCCAATAGCTGTGTTCAAGTATGGTGGAAAATTTTGAAACAATGTTAACAATGAATAAAGCCTAACTACTACAGAAACTGTTTTATCATGTTTATAGCTAATTTTCACTGGGGTGCCGATTTCAGATGATAACATCAGTGGCATTCTACAGATGGTGACGCCTTGGGCTGCACCCCTTGTAAAGCGAAGAGATTGTGTACTGTACGTTTTGATGATTACTACAGTGAGAGGCCCCTAATGTTTCGCGTGAAAAGTTTTGTACAGCATGTGTCCCTCTTGGAGCAACACATTCTTTTCCCCTGAATTGATTCAAAACCCCTGCTAGTAATTTCGTTTGGCATGCACGTTAACTAAATTTGGCAAGGAGAATAACAATAAATACGTGGTACTTACCATAATTAGTTACAGTAACGAAATCGCTCGGTCAGAAGTGGAAATGGCACACAACACTGAGAGTGAGACCAGCGAGAGCTGACGGCTACTTCGTCATGCTTTTGTTTCATTCGTCGCTACTTCGAATGAAAGTCAACCATCATTTCAGCAAGTTTTGACGTCTCGGACACGTCAAACCTCTATTGCAGCATCCTTAGGCACGGCAGCACGTCTCAGGCAGTGTACATTTGAAATCGACCGTGCAACAAACTTTGAACGCCATCATTATGCCAGAAGTACACTTAGGACCGTAGTGATTGGCGCCATCTATTGGTGAAGCAGTAAAGATAACTGAGGAATGTTCCCCACTGCCAGATAGATTATTTGGTTTGAAAGAAAATACCCTTCCCACTCTCAGCAGCTGGCCGAGACGATTTTTCATCGGGCATGTAACTCATTTTCACTCGCCAATTACAATATGTCGACTAAAATATATTAAAAATAAAATATGTACAACTTTCCTCTTTAAATATCATTCACAAATGCCAATTGCGCAGACAGGCATGTAGCAAGCCAATTTTTTCATGTAAGCCTGATAGGTTGCAAAGCTATATATTTAGATAATATTGAGGGCTTGCCCAACCTTTTTGGCAACAATCATGTGTAAGCCCAGGCTTTTTTTTACAATGGTAGCTATGCCCCTGGCAGATCGATGCTCATGCTGTTGATCACTGGATTGTCTGGTCCAGACTCAATTATTTACAGACCGCCGCCATATAGCTGGAATATTGCTGAGTGCGGCGTAAAACTAAACTCACTCACTCATTCACAAATGATAGATATCAAAGTACCACAAGCAGAATTCATCAACAACGTTCTCAATCACGTACATTTCGCCGGCGGTGACGCCATTGTGATGAGTCAGTGGTTGTCCCCACTAACGTCAAAAACGAAGTGGGCGGGGCTTATCGGCTGGGACTGGATCAGTCTATTGCATCAAAAATTCATTTTTGAGTGTACTTTTGTTTCAATGAGTGAGTGAGTGAGTGAGTTAGTTAGTTACAGTTTTACACTGCTTTTAGCATTATTCCAGTAATATCATGGCAGAGGACACAGACCAGGGGCTTCACACATTGTACCCATGTGGGGAATTGAATCTGGGTCTTTAGCGTGATGAGCAAACACTTTAACCATTAGGCCAACACAACACATCTTGTTTCAATAAAACTGAAGTCAAATTTAAGTATTTAAAACAAAACTTTCATTTGAAGAATGTGCATCTGGTTAGGTTAGGAATTAAATTCACTTAAATAAGGGAATTACCTCTAAATAAAGCTGTAATGCACTTCTGGATCAGTTTGAATACTCACACCTCGGTCCAAATTTCCATCCAACCATAGTGTTATTGAACCAATTTAGGCAGGTCAATGTGACTAAGTCTCAATCAAGTGAGCACTTTAAGGTTTTCCACTGACAGGGGGGATTTCTTGTCCTCATCTAGTGCATCTAAGGTGGGAAATACCACCCTCATGACACAGAAAATTGTCCTAAATGAAAGCCACGAGTCCCTGATACAAATCTCACTCATCTACAATAAATTTACTTTGGTAATTCTTATCATCCCTTTTTCATAAGCATATATATTTTTATATATTTTTGCTCATCGGTAATCATATTTTAATATCTCTTCTACAAAAAGTACTGACCTTTGTGATGCCAATCTGACATTCGGTTTTTTGCAACTTCAATTCTTCCAAAATGGTTTTCACATAGCTTCTTGGATCCCCTTCTTCTAGATGTAAGGGACTTGTGCCAATCAGCAGCCCATACTTCTGTAGGAATGTCGAGACATTCATATGAACTGGATACCCCTTGCAAGAGAAACACATAAAAAGTTTAGCAAAAAGAAACATTTGGATCAAACTTTTTCCCCCCCCCATAATATGCTTTATTGGAATAATTCAATACTTTTTTCTAACTTCTTTTCGATTTGCATTTTCCCCTAAAACTTGTTTCTGATCCAGCAAGTTGTATTGTCTTCCTTCCTGGAAGTCTTCCCCAGCGATATCCAGAGTTGTCAACCCTGTTAGGTGCGGGAAACTTGATAAGTTTTGGGAGGAACCTTTAGCAAAAAGTACTCCTCGATTCCAGAAGCATGGGCAGGCCTCTTTCTCAAGTGTTAGAGGTAGTATTCTTCGAATTATTATCATTGTTGATAATACTTCAGAATTCTTACAAATATCTAATGGAAAAAGTAACTGTGCCTAACATAAAAGTTATTTTTAAAGTTATAAAAAATAATCCTAAAATATAGCTGCGAGCAGCAATGTCGAGCTCCTTGGCTTTAATAAAATCTAGCCATTTCTGTCACGTAGATGTCGAAAGTACAGTCCGTTTGGCTAAAAAAGCGGACCGATGAATTGCAATCTAACTCGACTGATTGACTGAGTTTGGTTTTACGCTGCTTTTAGCAATATTCCAGCAACATCACAGCGGGGGACACCAGAAATGGGCTTCACACAATGTACCCATGTGGGGATTCGAACCCGGGTCTTCGGCGTTACGAGCCAACGCTTTAACCACTAAGCTACCCCACCGCCCCAATCTAACTCGAAAAGTAATAAACATAAATACTCAATGAAACGCTGATCATAATCAAAACATCATACCCACTCTGTGAGGTTTTTGCAGAATTTTTGTCCTAAAAATAATAAAGTTGTTTAACAAACTATCATTAAAATATTGACACAGTTCACTGTTTGTTCCAAGGGAGGAGTGCAGAGACAGGGACAGCTAGGTGTTCAAGAAGCACTTTCACAGACAAAGTTATTTATTCCTTAACCTGTGCTGTGCTCTCTCCATCCATTCTCAAACACCTGGCTGTACCTTTCTCTGCACTCCTCCCTCGTAACAAATAGTGAATTGTGTCAATATTTTAATGATAGATTGTTAAACAACTTTTTTATTTTTAGGACAAAACTTCTGCAAAAAAACTCACAGAGTGGGTAGGATGTTTTGATTATGATCAGCGTTTCATTGAGTATTTTATGTTTATTAGTTTTCGAGTTGGATTGCAATTCATCGGTCCGCTTTTGAGTCAAACGGACTATAGTAATGGCTACAGTTAATATGGATCATATCACTGTCAGTAATGAGAAATGCTTCAGTCGTTAACTTTGAATTCTTATGGTTGAGGGTTTGATACAAAGGATTGTGTGGTATGGTTTGGATAATGGCACTTATGGCTTTGGAACAACAGTAGTTGTTGGCTTTATCAGAAAGTCGAAGAAATAAGAATAATGGTTGCATGTTCAATTGCTAATCATTTATTTGATTTAACTGAATGAATGACATGCCCACCAGTTCTGACAAGCTTATGGTGCTGGCTGAAAACATTTTAACTGGAAGTTAAAAGTTAACTGGACGTTCTGTAAAACTAGATCAGTTTATTGCAAAGCTTGAATTGCATTCCAGGATCTTGATCTAAGAATATCATTTGGTGTCTCGGGTAAAACAGGAATCTCAAGACTGAAGGACCCGTTGATCAACTTGACAAGAAAACAGAAGATTTGGTAGCCATAGCTGAAATTGGTGCAAAATTCACTGTGATTCACAATATATGACTAAAAGAGTAAGCTTATCTCAAACAACAAAACAAACGTTTCCAGTGGTGTAATACAAAAATTGCAAAGGACAGAAAGTCGAATCAGATATAGGACGCTAGTGCACGTATGATTCATTTACTGCATTCACTTTGGTGGTTCAACTGGTGTAAATTCAACGTAAAATTCTCATACCAGTTCCAGCTGAAATTCATTACCGTAACACTACAGTCCAAATGATGTTGGTCAACCGATTTCTTGAGTTAAGACTAACAAAATTAGTAACAACTACTTCTGTTTCTTTGACAAGATTTAGCTATTTCATCAGCAAAAGATACTTGAGATGCTAGAAATATTAAATCTAGTGATACATTTTGGTTCATAGTGTCCTTCCACAAAGTAATGTAAATGCCAGTGAGATGTTAAAGGAGGAAATTCTATTTGCCCGTTTGATAGCTGGTGCGAAGTCAACTGCCAATATGAACAACTGTTACTGGGAGAAGCGATGGTGTGAGATAGTCATGACATCACTTCACTGCCGAAATGCCCACCTTCTATCACATTGTCTGCTGATAGAGGTGCCTGATAAGTCGTGATCAACATTTAGCTGTTAGTAGACACTACTCTTGCGCCATTTCAGCTTATATTTCAAAGGTTGCAAAGTTGAAATGTTGACACGAGGCGATCGGGTGCTGTATTTCTATAGCCCATATTAATATCCATTACACTGTTTGTGTAATGTCACAACTGACCGTGTGAATCCACAGCAAGTAAGGTATTTCTATAGTCAGTGCAGGTATTCATTACACTGTTACTATCATGCTGTCGCAAATGAACTTCTGAACTCCAGAGCAAGCAAATATACTGGGAGTACCCATAACACCTGTAAACAGGTCACTTATAACCATAAACAAACTGCAGAAGATCCAGTTGATACCAAAAATGGATTTGCTCTATTGGCATTAGAAAGCAAGCGATTGGGGGTTGTTGGTAGATTTTACTAACGCTTCCATAAGCTATTTTAATTACCTCTGACAATCATGTAGAAGATATGTACCAAACGGTGGTACTTTTCACATCCACCATAGAACAGAAAATTATCAGCAAACGCTTGAGATACATTCTGCTAACTTTCATTGTGCTCTCTAGAGAACCGATGAAAATAGCAACTAAAGTGTGGAAAAATATTTTCACTTGTCCCTCTGTTGTCTTTGGAGATACATTACTGCAATCGGTAGATATAGACAGTAATAGCCCACTTCTACAGGTACATTTTGGTCGACATCGGACGGTTGGTTTCAGAGTTACGGTTGTTTGAAGTGTATTTGAGGGCTATAAATCATCCAAAACAGAGCCAGAACAGGTTTTTGACATGTGAGCGGACCTTCCAAATACAGCCCGGTTCGCGGGGGGTCATGTACCTTCCAAATAGTTCTGGAGAAGAAATAGTTCCCTCTTTGACAGGCTGTAGCTCCGTTGTCCCTGTTTCCACAGTCAAATCGACTAGTGTTCTGGAATCGCCACGATCTCAGCTATCCGATGAAGACAAACAACTACCCGTCAAAAACGTCAAATTTCCTTCAATCCAAAATAGCGGCCAAAAGGTGTCTGTTAGCCCCATGGTTCCTGCAGTTGAAATTGAAGTTAATCGGATTCCAGAGCTGCCCCAGAAATTTGGTAGTCTTTGGACATATAATTTCGGACATTATTGCTTTGGAAATTGAAATATTTGAATTAAATTTGAATTATCTGCCCTTTGCTCTTGGGCCTAGAGCCTCGGTGGGCATCTGGGTGATTTTTTTACAAGCGATTCTGTCCACTGGTGCTCTTTGTAGGTGTGTAACAAAATACTGCGGAATAATAAATAATAAAACCCCGAACAATAATAGGTCTCCTGCCTTGTGGCAAGGAGCCCTAATTACAAAATCGTTATTTTTCACTTTTCCGGGTTTTGACCCCGGAACTTGATAGTAAGCCCAAAATGCTTTCTAATGGTCAAGGTCACTAAGGTCACGGGGTCAAGGTCCGTCACAAGAAAATACACTTTTTCTGGCAAGCTAAGACTCCATTGTTATTGCATCTACGCTGACAGGAATTAGTGTTTCTGCTTTGCCCAGACCCGATGTATCATATGCGCAGGTCAGATTTTGTGACAAATATGTCCGCCGTCTGTCTGCATGTCCGTCCGCGAAAATACTGTCTATCCATTGTTCCTTTGCACACCACATTCCCTTGACTATACATTCCACACTATGATGCTGTAAAAATCAAGTCATTTGGATTTCAACTTTTGTTGCTATGGCAACCCTGAAAAACGAAAAAACTTCAATCCAAGATGGCGGCCAAAGGGCTACCAATATCAAATTTTACCCCACCCAAAAATGATCGGCATCTCATGACCAAGCCACATATGAAATATGGAAGTTATTGGGTTAATAGTAGTGGAGATGTATGCTGTTTTATGCTGTTTTGGGGTCAATATTGCATTTGTGGTCTTTTCAATCCAATATGGCCAACAAAGCGATGCACATTTTGAAAAGCATGTAAGAACACAAAATGTCAAGCGTCCAATGCTGATGCTTAGTGCCAAATTTCACATCTTTGTGTGCGGAACCTGAGCAGCTATGTGGTTTTAAAGTATTGTAATCAGAATCTGCTGAAATCCAAACAATTCACATTTTGACATGCACCAAAGAACAAAAACTGTTCAACACATCAAGTTACTGCAAAATACGGCGGAATAATAAATAATAAAAACCTGAACAATAACAATAGGTCTCCTGCCTTGTGTCAAGGAGCCCTAATAAAGCAAATCTCACATATTGCACATGGCACATGCACTTTGTGCACAATGAACATACTCATTTCTTGCATGCTTTTCGAACCTGAAGTTCACACACCTGGTATTGAAAAGTGAAGAATGGTGGATATTCTCTAGCCTCTGAATGATGTCGAAAACATGTTAATTTCAACCTAAACTGACTGTACGTCATACCAAGGCTTGATGAAAATCAGTGTCTCTGCACCGAGGGTATGCTGGAGAATGGAATGGCCCAGAATGAAGTGGCCAGACATTTTGGTGTCCATCCAAACACGATTTCATCTCTATGGAGACGTTTTCAACATAATGGGAACACAAGAGATCCGGCCCCGATAGCCTGCAATACTTCCAATTTTGCACCAATGGGAACACAAAAGAACACATCACATCAGCAAGACAGCCACATTCGGCTGACCCATCAAAGGAATCAATTACATCACTTCTGGTC